TACTTTGAAAAGTATTCAGTGTGAAAATAACCAAGTGGGAAAAATTAGTTAAAAGGAGGTTTTCCGAGAGCCCTCATTTTAGATATTTTTAAGCGATTGCTCATTTCTTAACTCCTCTTTTTTATTCTTTATGGAATGGCCAGAGTATCAAGGCTTTCTGGAAGTGATGTGCGATTTCGAGTATTTACAGAACCGGTTCTCAAAAAAAGTGATACTGTAAATAGGCCCTACCGAAAGGGCTTAACAAAATATTTTAAGAAGTTTTTACAAAAAATTCAAGTTTTTTTTTATATATATTTTTTTATAAAACTTGGAAAATAAAATATACATTCATTAGTGGATGTTTGTGTTAAAAACATTTGCAAAAGTAATTTACATGAGATTAAATTTAAATGACCATTTGCCCCGTTAGTATTTCATTTAAAACAAAGTTATGTTTTCATTTAAAAATATGATTTTCTTACTGTTCATGTAAAAATAGATTTTTATCATACGTTATATGCAAGAAAATCGACAAAATTAAATTCTAAAAAATAAACGGTACATTTCAACGACATTAAACTTGCACTTTATTAAACTAAAATTGAATGGGCTACAAAACTGCAAACCGAAAATTTTCTAAATATTCAGATTAAAGATTTGGAAATTTTCATGGAAATTTTTTGACTTTTGATTATTTTTTTAAACTTGTGCAAGCTTCGAAACTGTTATAGATTGAATAATATTTTAAATGAAAATTATTAAAAATAAATAAATAAACATAAGTGGCAAAAACTATCATTTTGAATCTCGGTGCGAATTAATTGAATGCAGGTGTATGCATTAAAAAAATGCGAACAGAATTAAAGTGTGCGAAACAGTAACGACACTGCCATAAATAAGTCCAACAACCGCGGCCGTTACATCAACGCCGCCACGCTATGACTTTTCGCGTAAGTTAACACGCAACGGAAAGTTAATAATTTCAGAATTTAAATGCACAAATTTACACACAATCCGTCACTTGTGCAATGGGAGTCAGAGCGATACTGATTTACATACGTACAAATGCCTGTATGTGTGTGCAATTTTACATGTACTATAGTATTTTTATGCTTAAACCATTGGTAATGGCGCACTTTTGAAATTCACGAATCGAACGCGCCGGCGCTTTTCACTTTCCACACTTTCGACACTTTCATTTACAGTGGAAAATTGTAAAATCTCTTTATGCGAGCGCATAAATTGAATATTGTCACTTCTTGGTGTTTGCAGGCAATTTTTTTTGTTTTTGTTGTTGCCGGTGTTGCCGAATTCGAGCTCGAACGCGCGCGCAAATGGGCGGTTGAATGCAACACTGTACTACGGTATATGAGTGGCAGCAGATAAGCGTTACGCTGGTAATGGTGCTTCGGCATTTTGCGGTTCACCGAGCAATTTGCCAAATTAAATTAGACCACAAAAGTGCCGTCAACGTCAAGACAACAAACACACCACCCACCACAAGAACAACAACAGAAAGCATTACCCATTGGCAAGAGCAACGTATAAAAGCCTTGCTGCCAACAATTACATAAATACATACATAAATATGTATGCATGTGTGTATATGCATATTCTAGTGAATTTATTCCAATATCGTCGTTCTCTGGTGGCCCACATTGCAGAAAAGCATAGCGTGGAATATGGGAAACCAGCGGGGAGCTTAACGATGACTCTAAAAACTGGTAACAGTTGGTAAGATGCTTGGCTTAGTTTGGTTTGGTTGTTGCTGCTGCTGCTGCTTTTGTTGCTGCTACTGTGGCCGCCCTGACTACTATTGGCAATGCGCGCTAACAGCTCAGTGGGAGCGAGTAATAACTGCGAGCGACAGCAAGTACGGAAAAATAAATAATCAAATTGTGCTGGTGCGTCCATCAAAGTGTACAGCATCGACCCTAATGCCAAGCATAAATGGAAAGGAGCCATCGCATGAAAGCGAAACTGGAAACAGATAAAGTCGTTACAGCTTTAGTGTATAGAAAGGTCAAGGGGGAAGAGAGAAGAGTGAAAGTTGCGCGGAACGTCACAATAATAATTAAATAGCCAGTTGGACAAGCAGTTAAGTGGAGGAAGAAGGGCGTAAGGCAGGTCAGTGGCCACACTCAAGTTTTAAAATGAGCACAGCTGAGCCTTTTTCGACGACTTTGATTTAAATACTTAAGTATAATAACTTTAGTTATGGCACTTGCTTTACAAATTCGGATAGATTACTCGCTTAGAACGTACAAATTTTCTGGAATACTATTTTAAATATTCCGCCTATGTTTTAAGTTCCAACTGGTATTTGCAATTCCCATATTCTTGAAGTTGAAATTCTCACAGGATAAGCATTCCATAAAATATATTTTAATATCTATAATCACGGAATAAAACCGAAACCGAAACCGTAACCGTTATTTTGACCAGAAAAAAATACGAAACCGAAAACGTTTTAAGCACAGGAACCACTTCCAATCTGTTTCGAGAAAAGTATATATAAAAATCAGCTGCAGAATCTGGCAACTACAAGCTGGTTTTTCTTCCGTAGCAACAATGTTCCATTACAAGACAAAAAATTTGCTTTCACTTGAATTGACAGCTCTGACGTTGGCTGCACGGAACTTGATAGTCTATTTTCGTTTTAAGATGCCGTCGTCAAGGAAACAACTTAAAATTCTCGCTTTGTTCCTGTACACACATCTAAATGAAACACAAATTCTGGAGCACTGGAACAGACTAATGACAGGATGTTTTAATTTTTTTTAATCGGATTTCTAAAATTTGTTGTTCAAAAAAGTATATACATATGTATATATTTTTAATTTAATTCAATTAAATTTTTAGAAACTTGTTTTATGTATGTTTCTTTTTAAAATTTTTTTATATTTCTGAATTAAATTTTCTTTTAGGGTTATGGCATTTGTTATATGTTTAGATGTTATTCTGTTAAACAGAAGAATATTTTTTTAATTTCGTTTATTTTTTAGGAACTTATTTTATATTTTCTTTTTTTAAACAAAATTTTTTTCTTTTTTTATTCAATGTCTTATAATTTTTAGATATTATTGTTTAAAAAAGAAAAATACATTTTCCAATATCATTTATTTTCCAGAAATGTATTTTATTTTGATTTTCTTTTTACTAATTTGATTAGCTTTTTCAGTTTCTTTTAATTTTTGAATTTTGTTGTTTTAAACCGAAAAATAAATTTTGTTTTTATTAATTAAATTTTTTGTGATTTTGCATTTTTAATTTAATTTCTTTGACTTCTAGATTCTGGTTTTAAAATTTGTATTTTAGTTAAATTTTTATAAAAAATGCTTGTATTTCTTTAGTTTTTCTAATTTATTTTTTAGATTTTATTGTTAAAAAATGTTTTTTTTTTATTTAATTAAATTTTTACAGCTATGCTTATTTATTTTTGCTTTAGTTTCAATTTTTGATTTTGCTCTTTCCTATTTATTGAAATTTTTATTTATTTATTATTTTTTATTAAAAAAAAATAATTTTTGATTTCATTAAATTAACTTAAAACTTATTGTTAAAAGGCGAACAACATAACGCTAAAAGCCCGGTTATGTAAGACTTAGACAAAGAAAAAAATTATCTTTGAACTTTAATTTTATTTGAAATAAAATAAGCGGTCAACCTCGACTTTTATTCTTTAGTCCAGTAATACCAATCAAACTTGGCCAAATATTTTTTAAGTCCGAAATAAAAATCAAATGCCACTTAATTGTAATATGAGTCACAATGTCAAACAAAAATTTTATAAAAAATTTAGTTTGAAATTACTTTTAGTAAGGGCTGCCACCTATTTGAAAGTCGAATTTAATAAACTTATACACAAGTTAAATGAAATATTAAAACATGAGTGTCCAGCCATCTTTAGTTAGAAAATGTTACTGATTAGGGTGATGTACATATGATCTGCACCGTTATTTTGCATTTCGAATATGGGATATCGAATTAAAGAACTGGAGCAGTAGATGTTTTATTTTTAGAAGTTAGACATTTTTTTAGCTGTATTGGGTGATTGGAAATGAGAAAGGGATGTCATGCGCCTCTCTTCAGTCGGAAACGGCTGGATGGAATTAGATGAAACATTTGAATATTTTTTTTTCAATTTTTTAATAGGGCTTCCATCTGTATTAAAAGTTGAGACTTTTATTTTAGCCTAACAAATGTTATTAAATTATAAGAAATACATAAATAGGTGGCAACCTTCGTTCATATATATTTTGGTCCTCATTCATTTGATACCAAATTTATTTAATTTGGATAAGCGGTTGGATTATTACGACGAAAGGACTTTTAATACAAACTTAAAGAATATTTGGCCAAGTCTAACAGTTATTACTGGACTAAGAAAAAAAGCCCGGATTTTTCAGTTATTATTAGACTTTTTCCCCAAAAACTCGAAAAATAAAATTAATTCAGAATTCTTGTCCAGGAGGTCCTGCTACCAAAGGAACATTGATGACTTTATTCTACGAAAATATTTTGACCCGGACTTTTGCATACAAAATCGAAAAAATAACCGTTATTTTCGGCCCCTGAAAAAAAAACAAACTTCACTTAGAAAATTGGAGGACTATAGAGTTTTGATTTCTACATTAAGTTTCTAAGTGTAAAGATAGCCGTGAGCGAATCATGCTGCCGTATAATTTTTTCAAATGCTCCTAATAAAAATCCTCCAAATATGCCACACCAATATGATGTTTTGTATAAATGCAATTCATCTGGCAATCGAAAAACAAACTTAAGACCTCCTCATTAGTAGATCTTTGAATTAGTCCTTCGAGAGGCAGTAAAGAGCTTTCAAGATAGTTGCCAGAATCGCAAGTCTTTGCTATTCGTAGAACTGTACATACATATCTATATGTACCTGCTCACATTTATGTAGACGAATACATAAATTAGCCATGAAAAAGGGCCATGCTTCATAATCGCCCAGTCAAATTTCAAGTGTCAAGTTTAATTAAAATCAGTGAACTTACATTTTTGAACCAAGCATACGAAGATACTGGTGGCCTCGCATCGGCGCGACACTTGAAGGTCACGTTTTCTCCCTCAGATTTGGTCACAAAACGACTGGGATCCTCGTTGGCTAAATGCACGGACACTGTTGGTGGATCTGTAAAAGATGGGATAAAAAACAAAAAGTATTTGAATATTATGGGGCAGCACGAATAAATATAAATTGAAGTTGGCGGCAAGTTAAATGAGCGATACAAATTGCAGCATAAAAGTGAATAGAAATAAATTTGAATGGGTCAAAAGTTGCCGCCACAATGAGCCACAATGCAGCCATGTGTAGCGCACAGCAACAGTAACAATAACGAGCAGGCGCTGAGAAATCATTTGGCACGAAGCTGGCAGGCTGAGTTGCGAATATACATAGAGGTGTGGTTTGAGTAGAAGGCGGCAAACGAAACCACTTTGGCGCGCAGTATGCGCAGCAGATAACGAAAACTCCTCCACTTAAAAATCTAATTTAACAACACTACTGCGCTGTTTGTTTGCCAAAGGCGCCATTTTTATTACCTTTATTACACGTGTAACTATTTATAATTTTCTTCTATTCTATTTTAAATGCCTATTAAGAAGGTTTTATTAAAAAAAATTCGAAACTGCATACAGCGCACACCGTGTGGCGCCTGCTGCTACCAATGAATTTTGTTATTTAAACCAAGTATTTTATACAAATAGGCGAGTTGCCATATAAAACATGTGTACATACATATGTACGTAAGCGGCTATGTATATGCTAATGAAGTAGAATATATAAGTATGTACATAGTTTGTTTGTGTGCGCTTACCAAAACTGCCTGCTATGGAAAAAAGCGCATTAAATGCGGCCCATTAGACACGCTTGCGCGCACTTTACTTATTTATACTATGTATTATTCCACAACAAGGCAGACGTTGCACACCAGAGCTACCATGTCCACATGGACGGCAGCCGAACGAAGCAAAGTAAATTCATCTGAACTGAGGTCATATGAAATTTACTAACTCGAATGGGAAGTACTCTCTAGTGAAGTTGAATCGCTGCTATAAAATTTGGCTAATAGAATGAGGTATGGCGCAATGGGATACCATTTCTACTCACTAGATCACTAATACACTTTCAAGCATGAAATTGGTTTGACCAAATAGCTACAAACGATGTATACACCTACAAGGATATCTAACAACATATATATGTTTATGTATTATCATAATGCAAATAATGCTTTTCATAGTTCGAGCAAACGAATATCTGGGCAAATGTTTTTAAAAAAGAAAAAAAGAAAAAAATATAGCCACCAATGTGAGAAGGAATTTTAAGCCTAAATACACTGTAGGGACGCTAAAATGATACACAAAAAACGCCGATACACGTAAACTTAATTTTAAGTTTGCATTAATAATAATTATCAGGGATCAGGGTAAATAATCATTATTTTATAAATTTTAACCAAAAAAATCAAGAAGTAGTAATAATCGTAGAAGAGTTTTGACTATACTGACATATTGGCTTTCGTCCGTCCTATTGTAATTTAAAATGATTTTTGTATTTGAAATTTAATCAAAAATGATTAAAGTTAATAATTAATATTTGAGTTTGGTTTTTCGCTCAAAGGAAATTATTGTTACTGGATTTTTTTTTTTTGAACAAAAATAATGATTATTTTATGATTTTTATTTTTTCGCTGCTAGAAAATAACAATAGTTTACAGCATGTTCTTTGAATGCTGCTATCCAATTCCTGCTCGCTGATTCCGAAAATCGAGTTATTTTCTTATTCTATGGCTAAGTTTTCGAGATATTTTCAATTTACCGTTATTCAGCTTAAAGCAAAAAGTGGGTCCACTTAATCACGTATATCTTACGAACCAGTAATACGTGATAAGGAAAATGAAAGCAAATAAAATTCTATATAAACCCTATATACTATACATCACTTATCGATAGCCCTGATAATTCTGAGATAATTTCTGAAATTTTTTATTTTTTTTGATGAAAAAATGGAAAAAGTTCAAACTTTAACAGGGGAAAAATTTAATAAATTAGAGCTTCTGTGTAAAAAATTTGTGTTAAAGCCGGTTCCTTTAGAAAAAATTAAGCTAATAATGAAGAAAATCAATGGACAAATAAGAAATTAGTGATTGCGCAAATGAAAATGCCCAAGGCTTTTGGTAGAAAATATGAGCAGAAAAGAGTGTTACTCATACGCCGCGTACACCTGACAAGGTACAGTGCTGGCATTGAAAACAAGAGGTGTCAGAAATTATTAATTAATTAACCAGAATTAACAGCCAGCGAAAAGTGGTGTATATATGGTTTATGGCGAATTTTATTAGAATCTTATGTCCGTATCTTGTATTATGACTCTTCGATTAATTCGTAAGATATACGTGATTAAATGAAACCACTCTTTTTTAAGCTGAATAACGGTAAATTTCAAATATCTCGAAAAGTTATCCATAGGAAGAAAATTATATCTCTAGGAGTGGCATCTATAGAATATTTTTTCTGTAAACCAGTGTTATCGATATCATTCTTGGTGGTAGTTAAGTCATAAAAAGCTGTGTCCTAATACATAAGCTGCGCAGTAGCAAATATATACAAAATTTTTCTGTTTAAATTTCATTTTGTTTACATATAAAATACTTCATTATATTTTTCTTATCCCTTAATTGCAGCTTTAATATTCTGGTATATCTGTGTACGGGTATGTGTTATGCTGAAAATTTAATTTAAATCGTCCAAAAGAATAACTACAAAATACCCTACTGGCATGAATGCAGATGTGTTTTCTTCCATTTAATTTTATTTCTAATTTTTATTTCAAGCATTTATACTTGAGGACATACATACTTATATATACATATATGTACATGCATGTTTATACTTACATGCCACTCGAATGATGCGCTTGTCCTCAATGGCACTACCGGAGAACCAAGGATTCGATGCACGACACGTCAGTTCAGCATTATCGTTCTCCGATGTTACCTTCAAATTGAGAATGCTGGTTGTGGTATTCGAGTCCTGTAAAAATGAAATACAAGCAAACAAGCAAATATATTAGCATGGTTATGGGCATATGTTGATGTTTTATGCAGCTTAATATACATACAATCCATACATATACATATTTGTGTATGCACATACATACATATTGAATAGAAAAATGCTTATGGAAAATAGTGAAATGAATTTTAAGAATCTGTCAGAATTGCTGAGACATTGGCGAGTAGTGTGCATAGTGTGCATAGGTAGCAGAGATATTTAGTTCCCATAATAGCCAATACAGTGGAAAGGACAAGCATGACAGTAATATAAGCGATAAAATGAGCACAATACTCCTGTCCTCGTCGTCGTATTTATGTACTTATCTATGTGACATTCGATTGCCAATTCGCAAAGAGTGGGCAATACAGGAAAGGGCGTTATTGGCAGCAGCAGGAAACAACGAGCAGCAGGAACAATGAGCAAAATCAGAGCGTACAACGGCATGCCGTTTCGTTATCAACGCAAGTGCCACAATATATGTATATACATACATATGTACATATGCAGATAAGTATTGCACTCGTATAGTATAACAATGTCAGCTAGAGTGGTACCAAGCACAATAAGCTTGTACTTATTTATGATCTTAACGACTAGGTATGAATATGGGTGTATTTAATTTAGGGTGGTCCAAAAAAAGTAAAAACGGAATTGTTCTATACCGAAAAAATACATCCCCGTGTTTTTTTTTGTTTATCAAAAATTATTTAGAGGCTGGTGCGTGTATTTTATATTGGAAAAACAATAACAATTTTTCAGGGAAATAGTATAGAATTCTTGAAAATCAATATTTTTTGATCTGAAAAGTCTATTTCTCTTCAGCAGATTTTCAGTAATTATTAAACTATATTATATATAAAATCCAAAAAAATGCAATGCGGGACCCATAACAAATTTTTTGTATTAAGAAATTACTTAATAACAATTCGGTATTATTTTCGGAAGTCTCCTGAAGAGAAAAAGAGTTTTCCGATAGAAAAATATGAATTTTATACCATTTATATGAAAAATTGTTTTCTTCTATATAAAATATATGGAATGGGTTGGACGCTTTGAGCGAATCCTAAGTATTTTTAAATTTCTAAATAAAAAAGGGCAAATTTTCTCCATTAAGAATAATCCTAGGGGGTGCTCAAGTAGCACACTGGTGTATAACTTGGTGTAAATTTGTGAATTTTGGTACAATTAATAAGATTTGTACTAAAATTCGTAAATTTACACTAGGTTATACACCAGTGTGCTACTTGAGTGAGAGCATTAAAATTTTGACGTTTTATTTTTTTAACCTTCATTTATGGACCACGCTAATGTACATATACATAAAAAGTTTCTCCGTACATGCCTTGTGGCGAATAATGGCGACATACTCGAGATGTGGCGATATGGTAATAGCTTTCACATACGCAGCACAGTGGCTATTCATGGCAATTTTACAAATTAAAATCAGATTGCTTCAGCAATGCTTGTAACCCTTGTTTCAGAAGCGTGACTTGAAAAAAAGAAGTAATAAAATTTAATTCGTACATAACACATCATAATAAGGCAGAAGTTTGCAGTGAGGCAATCAAGTAAAGCGCCCATCATCATTCATCTGGATACGCTTGCATCCGGTAGGACCTCGATCGTTGGTTTGGGTTTTGGGGATATGGGGGGGGAGGGGGTTTGGTGATCACCTAAGATTTAAAATTTGTACTGCATCTGCAATAAAAATAAAAATTCGTATCCTTCTCATACGACCACGGTTTCCACTGCCCTGGTATTGAGGCACTTATCCGCCTCTAAGAGAAGTTCCCGTTATTGCAGCAGTAAGACTTGAAAAAGGCAGATGGTTCGAAAGAAAAACAGGCACCGGCGACTATCCCAATACCCTCAAGTTCTTTCGATAAAAAATGCAATATTGGAACAGCAGACCTTACCATATGCCTAATGGCATAAAATTATATGAAAATGTCTCCGAGCTCGAAGACGAAAGTCGGAGGAGTTGATATTTTTTTTGTATATTAATAAAATATTTTCATTCAAATTTCAATTTCAAATTTTTTAATATATTTTTAAAGATTTCTAATTATTGAATTATTCATATCTTTAAAATTTCAAAGTCCTTTAAAAAATCCTGACTTTAGAGTGAAAAACTAAAAACGCAGCTTTACTATAATTGGCCCATCATTTCGTGAGTATATTGATTGTTTCGTGTGGTTTGAATTTTTTTTTTTTGTTTTTGTCGCATACTGAAGTGCCTGCAAATGTGTTTTTGTCAAACTTTTGTTTACTCTTTTTATTTTAAAACCGAAACTGAAATGTAAAACGCAAAAAATTGTGAAGAAGGAAACCAAAATCGAAACCGTAACACTTTGCACAACCGAAACTGAAACTGGCGCGTTATTTTTTGTTTTTATGCTGCCGCTTCCACCTTATATGAATTTTGCTTGTTCTAAAAATTTTGCTTTTTGTTGCAATAAATTAAAATTATTCGTGAAAAACTTTTGACAAATCAAACACAAAATCTATCCATCCGCAATTTTTACCCTATATATGATAGAAATTCTTCCACTGTGCAACTATTTGGCAAGCAACGGTGATATTCTTTTAAGTACTGGCATTTGCATACTTAAATAGCTGCACCACACACGGAAGCTCAGCAATTGCGCGAATAGCAGAGGAGCCAAGCACTGTAGCCTCTACATAGGTATGTACATACATACATACGTACATACAGTGTAGGTACTTTTGAAGCTTATGTTATGTGCTCATGTACAGGCACACACATACCTTTGACAAAGTCAAATAACAAATTGACTGCACGAAAAAACGCACACACAAAATAGCGACGACAACAACAACAACAACTAAAGCAAAAAGCATGAATGCATGTATGTCATCGTCAAGGAGTAGGTAGGTACCTACTCTTGACAAGATGAGATCAGACAAGATGACATAATTAGGTTAAGCAACATGAGCATTCTTTGCTATCTACTACCGCTGCTGCTCTTGCCAGCCAGTTCCAGCTCTCGGCGCTGTTACCAGCTGTAGATAATTTCGTAATACAATTGGCGGCGTTGTTAGCGTTTATATTTGTGAATGCTTTGAATGCCGGTAGCTGTGGGCTGACTGGATTGGTGTGCCGCCAGCTTTCGCTAATACCTCGATTAGATGGTAGTGGGCCTATGCAAGTGTGTGTGTGCTGATGCCGGTGCGTTTGCGAATTTGATTGTAAGCTACTTTTACACAAATCTCATTTTTTTGTCCTTACTTTGGTGAAGTGCATGCGCATAAGTGTGAGTGGATATATCGTAGGTAGGTCGGTTTTTTCCAAGTATCTTTTGTAATGACTTAATGTCATTGATGGCGCACATTATACGTATTTACATGCATATATTGTGTGCATGCGAATTTGTGTATGTATGTATATGTACCTATATGTGTGCGTGAGTATTTTTGTTTATGCCTTTTGTGTTGAGCTTTCAAATATTCTGAGTGCTCTAAGTGAAATTTGCCCAAAAATCAAGTTCGTAATTCTAATGGCCTTGGCAAATTTTTTGCGGTTGCCTTTGTGTAGTCACACTGCTTGCACAACGCTGCTCCATTCAGCTCCAGCCACATACATTTCAAGTGCAATTGGGTTATTGTTACGCTGCGCGTTTGCTGCGAAAGCGCTTAGTTATGTTCAGTTCGTATACCAAATTGTAAATATAATTTGGTATATTTCATTTTTTTCCCTTTCTTTTCATGGCACTTGGGAGCGAATAGTTCGCCGTTTGCTCTGATAATGCTCTGCTCACTCTGCTTTGCTCATTCAATTCTCCAGGCGAATTCATTTCAGTTGATTTCAGCAGTTGACAATTGACAAAAGGACTTGATGTAATAGCAATGAGCTGTGGTTGCGGTTTCTTACACTTGGGAATTTTGTGGTGGACACGATTGGTTGGCATCTTTGCGACACAATTTTGTAATTCAAGTAGTTGTTACAATAAATAACAAAGCGAATGGCTTTTATTTAATGCTTTCGAGCTTTTGTGTATTAACTTAACAAGCAATGGTGGTTTGTTAAGAAATTGTTTTCTAAAATTACTTTTGAATGGAGGCTTGTGGAAATAAAACTGTCGTACTTTGTTGGTCATAATGCATTATTCTGGGAATTATTTTTGATTTAATTCGCTTTTTTTAAACCTATTTGCACTGTAATGAGTAGAAAGTCTTGCAAATGCATAGATTAGAGACCAATTAAAGCCTAACATTTATTACACTATGAGAAACTAGAAGTGAATTACTTGTTCATAAACTATTAACAGCATGAAGAGTGTAGTTATATTTAGAATATTGTGACTCCTTCTTTTCAATCATATCGCTGTGAAAGTTATTCTCCCTAGGTCATATTTGTACCATTATAAGTTCCGATATAAATATTTATCGATGTTGTGTATAACAAAAAAAAAAAAAATACGCTAGAAAACATCGTCGAAAGGATTCGTTTTTTTTCAAAATTAAGCTTTTTTAAACCTTTTTTGAACTTATCAATTTAAATGAATTTAATTTTTTGACAGT